GTTTTTTAAGCTTTATGTGGGTAGAAATATAACGGTTTGTATGTTACAGCAGGAGAGTCTGTGCTGGATTGTTAGGGCCCTCAGCTCCTGAAAAGGGACCTTTGGCTACAGCTGGCCGCATCTGACACAGCTGGGCAATAGGGCTTTTAACCATCCCAATAGATTTTAATTGCTTATTAAAATTAAAATGTTTAATTGAAAATAAAGTTTCTTCACTAGCAATAATTTATTTTGTGGGTCACTTCTGAGCCGGTTCTCTGACAGGTCAGTCATGATCTCTGCTTACACACTGGCTGCTTTATTTCTCCCCTAGTAGGTGTTCACCTTTCAGGAAGGAAGAAACAGGAACTGTGAGGGAAGTAAAAGGCTCATCCGGAGGAAAGAGGGATCGTCAGCGAGATTTAGTGTCCCTCTGAACCTCTGCCTTGAGAGTGAACTGGCTCCTCCTAGGAGAATTCTTTAACTTTTTCACTGAAGATGAGGGGAATAAGAGAAGTGGTAGAAAGGGAGTGGCATTTAACTCTTGTGCCTTTGCAAGCAAATACAATGATATTTCATATTTTAACTTAGGTTTTGGAGTTATGGGATTATGCTTGACCCTCAGGTATAATGCAAAAGAGTTGTTACAGCAAGCCTTTCTTTTTCTAAGAACTATTTTAACAAAACTGAAATACTTTTTGGGAATGTATCAGCTTTGACAGACTTTTAACAGTCTTTTGGAAAGGAAGAGGCGTCAAAAGCAAAGAGAACCTGCTGTTGTAATGTGCATGTGGAGAATATTGTGTTTCCTCAGGTGCACGGAAAGATGCAGCCCACCTTGCTCTCCGAGCTCTTGATCTGTGTGCAGATGATGTGGGGATGAATGCGGCCGAAAAAGAAAGAACAAAAAGGAGAATAAAGCAGGGAGGCAGAACTGTGGTGCCGTTTAGCTGTGGAAAAGACCGGCGTGTGGCAACGCTGCGGGTGAGGCTCTGTGCCCAGGGAACCCGGGAAGGGAAGGAGCAGAGCCAGAGAGGGGCTTCTCCCGCCCTTCCCCGCGGCGTGACCCTCGCAGCGCGTGCCGGTCTGCGAAACACCCCCGGTCCAGGCATCTTCTGGAGGGAGCACGTGCTGCCGCGGAGGTGTGACCACCAGTTCATGGAGCTCGTGGGCAGCGAGCGGGGTGGAAGAGAGGAGTGGGGGTGCCTGAGGAGAGGCGCTGATGGGGGGGTTATCTCCCGAAGCTCTGCATGAAGGGGTGACCACTGTCTGCCATTCCTCAGCTCTTGAGCTTCAGGGCCCTCTCCTTGCCGTGGTAGCCGCTGCACGTTCTCCGTTGCGACGGGGGAGGGCCTTCCCC